CTAGCAGTTGAGAGCATTTGGGAAATTAGCCAGGAGATGGGAAATCTTTATTGCTCTTTCGCCCTCTCTCTGCCTCTCAAACAGATGAACACAATTTAGAAAATTTTAAATGTTTTTATGTAATTTTCTAAGAGAAGATTTTAAGGACCATATAATATTCCATTCTATGAAAGTACTGTAGTCTATTGATTACAGTATTCAACCAAAAGTATATAGTAGAACAAACAGAAAAAAATACTAAGAGGGATAACATATTAAGTTGCTCATCAACAGTCAGGGTGAGGGCTGATCAAGTCACCGTTTCTCATAGTGTTCATTTCACTTTAACAGGTTTCCTTTTTGGTGCTCAGTTAGTTGTCACCTATCAGGGAGAACAAGTGGTATTTGTCCCTTTGGGATTGGCTTATTTCACTCAGCATAATGTTTTCCAAATTCCTAACAGGGATCACTTTTCAGTTAAAATTTAAACACCTAAGAATAATTGTGTTAATTACAGAGTTCAACCAATGTTACTAGAACAAAAAAAAAAAATGCTAAAATGGATAAAGTATTACATTGTACAATATAAGAGTGGGAATAAGAGAGGGAAGAGATGTGCAATTCAGGACATGCTCAAGCTGACTTACCTCAAACGGTAGAGTTAGAAACATACCAGGGGATTCCAATTCAATCCCATCAAGGTGGCATGTACCAATGCCATCTCACTAGTCCTAGTGATCAATTTCTGTTCACAATTGATCATAATGATAGGACTAAGAACCAAAGGGATCACATAAACAAGAATAGTGTCTGCAAATACTAGCTGATAGAATAAAAAAGGGAGAGTACGATCCAACATGGGAAGTGAGATACACAGCAGACCCATAGAATGGCAGATGTCCTAAACAGCACTCTGGCCTCAGAATCAATCAGCCCTTAAGGCATGCGGATCCGGCTGAAAAGCCCATGAGAGTATTTCAGGCATGGAAAGCCAAAAAAAAAAAAAAAAAAAAAAAAAAACCTAAATGAAAGATCTCCACGAGTGAGATCCCAGTGGAAAGAACGGGTCATCAAAGAAGGAGGTACCTTTCTCTGAAGGGAGGAGAGAACTTCCACTTTGACCATGGCCTTGTCTAAATATGATCAGAGTCAGTGAACTCAGGGGGCTTCCATAGCCTTGGCAGCTCATGACAAGAGCCTAGGGTAATTACTGATGCCATAAACAAGAGTGTCAATTTGTTAAGTCAACAACAGGAGTCACTGTGCACTTACTCCTCATGTAGGATCTCTGTCTTTAGTGTGCTGTACATTGAGATTTAATGCTATAACTAGTACTCAAACAGTATTTTTCACTTTATGTTTCTGTGTGGGTGCAAACTGTTGAAATCTTTACTTAATGTATGCTAAACTGATCTTCTGTATATAAAGAGAATCGAAAATGAATCTTGATGTGAATGGAAGGGGAGAGGGAGTGGGAGAGGGGAGGGTTGCGGGTGGGAGGGACGTATGGGAGGGAAGCCATTGTAATCCATAAGCTGTACTTTGGAAATTTATATTCATTAAATAAAAGTTAAAAAGAAAGTACTGTAGTCTGCCATTTTTATATTGCTGAATATTTAGGTCTATAGAATTAGAAATAACAGTTGTTCTTAATTCCTTGCAAAGGATTTGTTCCACTGCTCCCTTCATATACCAAAATCTGTGGATGCTCCAGTCCCTTATACAAAGTAACCTCCTCCTGTATACTTTAAATCATCTCTTGATTACTTTTAATGCCTAATACATTGTAAACACTATGTAAGTAATTGTTATATTGTGTCATTTAGGAAATAATGACAAGGGTAATTTTTTTATACAGGAGAGATGAATTTTTTCTCCTGCATCTTTTCAATCAATGATTGTTTGAATCCATGAACATGGAACCTGTGTATAAAGAGAGCTGACTACAGTGCTTTGCTGGATACATCAATGCCTAAAGCAATTTCCACATTGAGGATAGATTTATCAAGATAGTAAAATTACTGGATCAAAAAATTAAGTAGAATTTCTTAAGGGAATGGGCCTTTAATGCATTTGAGAAATTTTCTCTCATAGATGTACAAAATAGTTTTAGCATTTTAGATCACCCCATCAATGTAAAAGAGCGGCTTTTTGATGCACTGTCATTAAGAATAATTAAACATTGGTAGGACACAATTGATGTATCATTATAGTTTGTTTTTAAATTTCTTAAATATGAAAAGAATTTGTTTTTGTAAGTTATGTATTTTTATATTGAATTTTCTTGTCATCCCCAATGTGTACATATGTTTTTGTGTTGGCCTTCCTGTGCTATTGTCATCGGTATTTATCTTTCTGCAATAATTTAAATAACACATAATAGTGGAAATTCTAATACATAGCACAGCTTGGTAAATGTGGAAGAGTGGTTTTAGATGAAACTCTAATTCTGTGTAATTAAGGATAACAGTGGCTGCTTTGATAGATAAACCTAAATCACAGTAAGTTAACACTGTAGAAGTTCATTACATGCTCATGTCAAAGTACCATATGAGTTTTACTAGTTAGGAGTCTTCTATGTACTCTTTTAGGGACAAAGGTTCATTCTAACTCATGGCTTCCCTATTCTCTGGATCCTTGACATGACTTCCATTCAATGAGAGGGTGGCAGGAGAGTGGAATATGCTTATAAGAAATATTTTTGGGCTGAACCTAGAAGCTAAACATTCTATATGATTACATTCCATTGACTAAAATTCAGTCAGATTTGGTCAACATCTAGCCAGTCTTTGCCCCAACTTCATAGCTGAAATGAAGAAATATTTTCATGCAGTCTTATTCTATTCCCTGCTTTTGCTACTGGAGGATATCTGGGAATAAATCACCAGTGTTGCTTGGATCATTTACAGAATTTAAATATGGAATGGAAAATTTAAAATATTGCTGAGTCAGGGTTAGTATTGTAGAGCAGCATATTAAGCCAGCACTTGAGATGCCAGCATTCCATATTTGAGTGCCAGTTCAAGTCCCGGCTGTTTGCTTCTGAGATCCAGCTTCTGCTAATGTGTCTGGGAAGGCAGCAAATGATGGCTCAAGGGCGTGGACTCCCAGAACCCATGTGCTTGACCCAGATGGAGTTTCTGGCTCCTGGCTTCATCCTGACTCAGCTCTGGCTGTTGTGAACATTTGAGGAATGATCCAGCAGACAGAAGATCCGTCTGACTCTTGTCACTCTGCCTTTCAAACAAATCAATTAATTAAAAAAATCCATAAATTAGATAAATTTTTAGCAGACCAGAGTGGTGGAAAAATGATATTGAATAATCATTGAATGCCCCATAGATCACATAAGAAAAGAAAGTGGAAGTTGTTGGCCAGAGTGACTTTGACACATGAATATTGGATAGGCAGCAATCATTCAAAATGTAATAAACTTAGAAGTAGAATATATATGAGAAATCTTCAGAAATTTCATGGAAATATGTATTATGAAAAAACTATGTATAGATTACAAAATTTTCTTGTACCAAAAAGTTATCTTTTAACATTTATTTACTCTTTCATTCATTTGAGATGGGTGCTCACATCTGCTGGTTCACTCTCCAAATACCCACAAAGGCTAGGGAGTTGGGGGAAGTCAAAGCAGGAGTAGGAAAGCAATTTTCTTCTCCCACATGGAGCTTCACTATTGCCTCTGGAGATCTCCATTAGCAGAAAGCTGGAATCAGGAGTTGGAGCCAGAAGTAGAATCCAGTTACTGCAATGTGGGATGCAGACATCCTAGCCAGCATCTTAACTGCTAGGCCAAATACCTGCCCCTCAACTTGTCTTTTAATTCCATTTTTCCATGAATGTTTTGATGTTCCCTTGCATAAAGGACTATTATGCAATAAGTTTGTGGGCTTAATAAAATTATATTTTAGTAGAATATCTTAATGAAAAGTCTACTCATGGATGGGGTAAACAATATTAAGCCAAATATCTGATAGGGGTTGATAGTCAAAATTTATAAAAGAGTTCATACAACTCAAAGGTAGAAAAATAACAATTAAAAATGGGCAAAAGATTTCAATAAATATTCCTCCAAAGAAGACATGAAAGTGAAAAACAGGTGTATGGAATGGTGTTCAATATCACTAATCAAGGAAATGCAAGTTTAAACCATGCTGAGATTTCACATTATACTCATTGAGATGGCTATTATCAAGAAGACAAGTAACAAATATCATTGAGGGTGTAATGGAAAGGATGTCCTTATACATTGTTGATGGAAATGTAAATTGTCACAACCATGTGGAAAACAGGAGTTTTCTTAAAAAATTAAAAATAGAAATACTGGTGACCCAACAATCACTACCTCATAAAGATATCTTCTATGTTCATCACAACATCATTCACAAGAGCTGAGGCATGTAAACAATGTATGTGGCCATGGATGTGTGAATGAACAAAGAAAGTGAGATATATATGTACATGTAGTGATGTACATGTCTATATTCTATAGCATACATGCAGTTACAATGAAATGTTTTGCAACCCTAGAAAAGGTTATCCTGCCATTTGCCACAATATGGATGAACCTAGAAACCTACCAAGTGAAATTATCCAAATACCAAAAGAAAAATATTGCATGGATGATCTAACGTGTAATCTTTTAAAAAGTCCAATAAACAGAGATAGAGAATAAAAACATAGTTTCCAGGGTCAGGGAGATGTATGGTGGGAAATGAAGAATTGTAGGCCAAAGTAGCAGATATACAGTAAAAACAAATCTAGAGATTTATATGGTAAGAGTAGTTAGTTTAGGTTATATTATATTTGGCATTTTTGTTAAATGAGTTGAGTTTAGCTGATCTTGTCACACACATGCAAAATGAATAACTATGTGAGATAGGGAATGTGTTAATATGTTTTACTGTCATAACCATTCTACTATCTATGTGTATCTATGTGTATTTTTGTTTTATTAAAAAACAAAATAAAGCAAGAATATTAACCTTTTGTTGTTTCTGCTTACACAGGTGATTAAAGTGTACAGTGAAGATGAAACCAGCAGGGCTCTAGAGGTTCCCAGTGACATAACAGCCCGAGATGTTTGCCAGTTGTTGATTCTAAAGAATCATTACGTCGATGACCACAGCTGGACACTCTTTGAGCATCTGCCTCACATAGGTGTAGGTGAGGACACAGAATCATGGTTTTAAATTATCAAATCACTGTCTTCTTATAATGTAAATCACTTGGAAGAAAAGTTCCTGCAAATGTATACAACTAGAAGGGAATTGTGAATAATCCTTTTCTTTAGTCTTTTCATTATTGCTTGTTGGTGTTAAGAGATGGAGTACCACATATGGAAACAAGGATAGATGTCGCTCCCCCTCTTCGTGGAGGAACGACACAGGACCCTGCGCTGTTCTTTTGTCTGCTCGGCCCTCCCCGGGTTTGCTGCTGGTTCTTCCCGGGTTGGCTACCGTCCCTTCCACCTCCGTGGAAGGGCGGTTCCCCCTGCCACTTTCCCCACTTCCGCGGGGGAGCGCCACACTGCTGGCCGGCTCTCTCGGGGGCTGCTCAGGTGTTCCTCATAGATGTTCCTGGTGCATGTTGTCTCTCTCCTCCTTTATAGTCCTCTTCCACCAATCCCAACTCTGCTACCCACACGCCGAGTACGCTGCTCTCCTCCAATCAGGAGCAGGTCCTACAGTTTATTGGTTGAACTGGAGGCAGCTGTGTAGAAGCTGTTTCCTCCTCTCCCAGCGCCATATTGTGGGAGAGCAGATGCATAGAATAAATCTTAATTCCAGTAACAGTCTAGTCCGAGTTGCTCCCAGTTGCTCCCCACAGATAGAGGTGTTATATATCCCATACCGCTTCATGTAAATAATGATCTGTGGGAATTTTGGAGGTAAAACAGAGTTCAAATTAATGAAAAGTTAAATTTCATAATAATCTTTCATAGCATGTTAAAAACTTTATGAGTAGTTGATAAAATAAGCTGTCATTTGGTCTGCTTTTGGGGTTGATAGTAGTAACCATAATGGTGGTTCTCTTTATTAGAGGGCATGCCCTAAATTTTTCTTGAAGAAATTACTATTTCCTCCACATTTTTAAGACATAATTTAAGAATAACCCTTTTAAAAGTTTTCATTGTAAATGTATCTCTGTATTGTTAACTGTGGAGATTTTTCAAAAATTCCTTTTAAGTTATAAAGAATCCATTCCTCCACAATGAGACAGGATTCTGCATGGATTTTATTCTTTGCTTTCTTATTTTTATAGATATTAATGTTAGAAAATAGGCTCACATATAAGTAGATAAGAAAAGAAGGAGGTTGCTATGGCAATGACATTTGGTTCTTTGAACTCTGTATTAGTTTCCTGTGGTTGCTATAACAAATTATTACAAACATGGTGGCTCAGAGCAACTGAAATTTGTTCTCTCATACTCCTGGAGGCCAGAAGTCCGCAGTCACCATCGTTGAAAAATCAGTGTTGAAGTCAAGGTGTGGTTGGGGGTTGTGCTTCTTCTGAAAGTGTTAGGAGAGAATCCGCTCCTTGCCTCCCCCGCTCCTGGTGGCTGCCTGTATTCCTTGGTGTGGGCTGCGTCTCTTGATCCCAGCCTCTGGGTCAGAGACCCTTCTCTGCTTCTGTCTGCATCAAGTCTCCTCTTTCTTATAAAAACGCTAACACTCAGGGATCCCCCAGATAATCCAGAACAGTTTCATTTCATTTCTTCATTTAATCATATCTGGTAAGACCCCCTCTTTTTTATTTTTGTTTTTATTTTGGGGGCCAGAGAAAGTGACATTCACAGATTCCAGAAATTAAGATGTGGTTATTGGCCGGTGCCGCGGCTCAATATGCTCATCCTCCGCCTGCGGTGCTGGCACACCAGGTTCTAGTCCAGGTTGGGGCGCCGGATTCTGTCCCGGTTTCCCCTTTTCCAGGCCAGCTCTCTGCTGTGGCCAGGGAGTGCAGTGGAGGATGGCCCAAGTGCTTGGGCCCTGCACCCGCATGGGAGACCAGGAAAAGCACCTGGCTCCTGGCTTCGGATCAGTGCGGTGCGCCGGCTGCAGCGGCCATTGGGGGGTGAACCAACGGCAAAAGGAAGACCTTCCTCTCTGTCTCTCTCTCTCTCACTGTCCACTCTGCCTGTCAAAATAAAGAAATAAAAGATGTGGTTATCTTTTAGAGACTACTGTCAACCCAGTACAAACTTCTTTGCATTATATGTTTAAAAACTTTAATAATCAGTCATCAAATTCATTTTAAATAATGTATCAGTAGCAGTTCAATTATTCCTTTCAATTTGTTTTTAAAAATGTAAAATAATTTTATACCTAGCTGTTAGTCCTTTGCTTTCTCACATAGCTGCCAATACAAGCTGATAAAGTTGTTCCTTTGTTTAATGCATTTGAGGGTTTATATCCCAGAGCAATATGCCAGAGCAAGGTTTGCTACAGAGGAGAAGTCTCCTTTTCTCTTATGAAGAGGTATAAAACACATGGTGCTGGCAGAAAAAGCGTTTTCTCACAAAGATTCACTTTGAAAACATTCAGAAAGTGATTTTGCTTAACTCTTCCTGCATTCCCTGGGCCCTTTAGAACGTGTTGGTTTGACGACTCATCCTAGAACTTGTCAGAACATCGGGGAGAGGAGAGGGGAAGCCGGTGGAAAGGAAGCTGAAGTCCTTTGCCATCTCCCCAGGGGTTCTGAACCCGAGCAGCTCCCCAGCTGAGAGCTGGTGAGCACAGTAGTGCCAGCTGTTGGAGACAGCTGAGCCCAGATCATTCCTTGCTGCAGAGAAAGCCAGAATTCTGAATGGTGTGGTGCTGGCCTGTGTGACGTGCTGTCCTTTCTTCCCAAGCAGGCTGATCTCTACATGCATTGTCTTCGTTGCCATTGTGACCAATTTAACTTCTCTTCGTGATCATTGATTTCCTGGAAGTATGGTGTTAATTCTCCATGGGTATTTTCCATCTTCCACATTATTCATTTTCTTATATGCTGGCAGAAATATAGCTGTTAGTTTGCATAATGTATAACTGCAGTATTTTATACTCGAGTTTTTCTTTGGGGGCACTTAAAAAACTTTTTTTTAAATATATTCACTACAATTTATCTGTGACAAACCATGTTGAAGTTTAGTAATAAAAACCTACTCTGTAAATCTGGGAGTGTTTTTCAGTCAGAACTCTGAGAGTTACTCATGTTAAGTAACAAAATATATAAGTCTTGATACAAACGCTTAAAATGGAACACTGAAAATTAATTTGAGAGACATAATAAATTTAAACTTTTAAAAATAATGCAAGTATACTTCTCCATCACTGTATTTTCTGAAATAAAATCAAAGATGTGAGAATATTGTGTTCTGGCTTCATCAACCATGCATCATTAGACCAAAGCATTTGAGATGGAGTTTTAATTTCAGAGCTTTCTATGTTCATTTCCTTTTTTTCTTACACTTGGGTCATGTATTTAAACAGAAAAGTTGCGGACAATAATTCTGCCCCAATTCTAATATGTGTTAGGTTTAGCAGCTTACAGTTCTTTCGTCTAACACTGTTACAGAGTAACCACTGTTGAGGTGCTGTGGATTTTTCCCAGCCTCAAATAAAAATGGATGTGTCTTTGAAAAATGTTTTGCACTGCTTATTAATAGTCATAGTGTATTCAAATAAGTGGTGTGAAGTAACATTTTTCCATTTGTATTTTAAATGAATGAAAAGCACTAAAGCAGTTTTCCTTTTTAAATATAATATGCAGTTGCAGCTGAACATTGGACACTTTCATTTGTGTATTCTGTGTGTGCTATGGATACTTAGAACCAGCCGGTCAGCTCTGCATATTGTTCAAAAGACATTCATGATGTCTCCTTAACCAAAATGATCAATTTTAAGTGCATAGAATTCTAAAAACAAAGGGGTGGTACACAGCATTTTAAAAGATATTTTTAGGGACAGGCATTTGGCATAACAATTAAGACACTTCTTGGGACGCCCACATCCTATATCGGACTGTCCAGATTTGAGTTCCCACTCTGCTTCTGATCTAGCTTGCTGCTAATTCATACCTTGGGAGGCATTAGGTGACAGCTCAAATACTGGGATTCTTGTCACACTTGTGGAACAGCCAGATGGAATTTTCCAAGCTCCTCACTTTGATCTGACCTAGCCCTGGCTACAAGGGGCATTTAGGGAGAAAAACAGTGGATGGAAGATCTCTGCCTTATTTTGTCTCTCTGCATTTCAAAGAAGATTAAAAATTTTAAAAAATTAAGTACTCATGGAATGAGAGCAGTTAAGATGCCTACATCCCACATCAAAGTACTTCAGTTCAGTTCCCAGCTCCAGCTCCTGACTCCAGCTTCCTGCCAATACAGTAGTGGCTCAAGTAGTAGTCTTCCTGCACTGTTATGGAAGGTCTGGTTTGCATTTTGGTTCCTGGGGTTTTGGCCTTGCATTTGGGGAGTGAATCAAGATCTTGTTTTGCTTTCTCTCTCTCCCCCCTCCCCTAAATATTTTTTTTAAAGATTTATTTTTATTTATTTGAAAGACAGAGTTAGAGAGAGGTAGAGACAGAGAGAGAGGTCTTCCAACCGCTGGTTCACTCCCACAATGGCCAGAGCTGCGCTGATCCGAAGCCAGGAGCCAGGAGCCTCTTCCAGGTCTCCCACATGAGTGCAGGGGCCCAAGGAGTTGGGCCATCTTCTACTGCCTTCCCTGGCCATAGCAGAGAGCTGGATAGGAAGTGGAACAGCCGGGACTAGAACTGGCGCTCATATGGGATGCCGGCATTTTAAGCCAGGGTGTTAACCCGCTGTGCCACAGCGCCAGACCCCCCTCAAATCAATTTAAAATTTTTTTCTAAGTTCAATGAAGTGCATATTATGGAAAACAATTAATAAATTTCAAAACTTTCTTCTACCAAATTTGTCTTAAAAATATTTATTTGAAAGTTACAGAGAGAGAGAAGGAGAGACACACAGAGAGATATTCTATCTTCTGGTTCACTACCCAAATGACTGCAATGGCCTGGCCAAAGCTGGGCCAGGTTGAAGCAAGGAGCCTGGGACGCCATCCTGGTCTCCCACATGGGTGGCAGGTGCCCAAGTATATGCACCATCTTCCACTACCTTCCCAGGTGCATTAGCAGGGAGCTGGATGGGAAATGAAGCA